GTGCGAGACCGTTGCCCTACAAGTCAGAACTGTTTGCATCAGTTCAGGGGTCCTGATGGGGGTTAGGATATTCCAAGAACAAAGAAATGCTGCCGTGGAAATGCAGTTCTTGCTACTGAACGTGCCCCAGTTACACTGCAAAGTCCTTAGGACAAACACAAGCCTGTCACCTAAGGTAGTTTGTGAACTAAAGACATACTGCAAGACAACACTACCACCCAATTTGAGGCATAAATAGGGTCCAAGAGGACTAGCTAAGCAGAAGACCCTTCTCTGGTGCCAAGGGCGCAGGAACACCAGCAGCACAGACCTGCTGGGGCAGCAGGACCGGTGAGGCTGCCACAGCTGTACAGTGACCCCTGCCTCCCTACTGAAAATGATTAGAAATAATAAATATTATGTTACTGCCAAGCAGGTGCTGCACCAGCCACCTACGCTACTGCATTGATTGAACTGCTCCTGCAACGTGCAAGTTTGCTAGGATAAATGGAACGTTACAAGGAAGACACAGGAGATAAAAATTGATTGTTCTATTTACACCAACTAGTGCAGAAACCGGATTAGATTCCTGCACACACAAAGACAAATTTTAAAAATCCTCTTTTCCAAGAAACAGCCTTTCTTCCACTAATCTGTATTTCATTTCATTAAAACAGATGATATACTATTTGTAGCACAATCTATTTTCATGTACTATGTAGTGCCAATCACAACACTGGTACTAAATAAATTCTCCTGCTACTCTGAGTTGCCTTTCTAGGTATGCTCCTTAAAAATACCTCCTTTTACCTACCTACAGTCATGTTTTAGATTAAACAACTTCTTTTGCTCTGCACAGACTTCTTTTAAATATATATTGAGAATATTAAAGCGAATGGTTATTACATTTATCAGAAGCAGGGGTAACGACAATCCATATTAACTGCATGTAGGAACTGTGTCTAAAATTCAGAGTGCAATTATGAAACTTATTTAGTATGCTAAACATCTTAAAAATGGAAGTTGTTAGAAGAAACAATGCTTCTTTGATTCTTAGTAACGCTCCTTAGACTAACACACACATACACAAAAACTCACTGAGAAAGCAAGCCTGAACGCACATATATTTGACGATAGGATTTCAACAGTTTTCTATTGCCTTATTCATTCTGGAGGGAAAAAAAAAAAATCTAAAACACTACAACAGGAAATCCCAATTTATTTTTTTTTTCCCAACTGGAGAAAGCAAGGATTCAGTGACATTCCTAACTTACAAGTTCAGTTCGTATTCCAACCTTACCCACACTTCAGTATTATATGACCATGTATGTATAAAGGGATTGGAAAGAACAAACACAGAAGAACAAAAATCTGATTTCAAGTGGAAAAAGAAATGCCAAACTACATAGAGAGTCTTGTAGTTGCACTTCTACCATTGTTACCACCACATGTACTAGTTATGTCTAACAGCTTAAACTGGTAAAGCAGATTTCTCTTCCCCTTACTGAAATGAGTAATGCTGGAGTAAGTGGTTTTATACTGGCTTTAAGTGTTACTAGCATTTCTTCCATAGACTCCTTAACTGTATCAAAATAGCTGAAGTACCATGGTTCCTGTTTATTAAACACATACAAAACAAAAAAGGTAGATCATAAACATTAACTTTGGCCACAGCTTCCTGAGTGACACTCTGAGAGCACTGGGTGTAACTCCCACCCATGCTAATTCCTGCTACAATTCTTCTGAATAGAGTGGCATTAAGAAAGAAAGTGGTGCTCTGTCTTTTAAAGAGGATGCTGTGCTATGGTTGCTGAAGGCTGGGAAGGGAAACAAAAATTAGGATAAAATGGCAACTAGAAAGTTGGAGCTATATAGTACTAAAAATTCTTCATAAACAGTCCAGTATAATTGGTGCAGAACCACTGACAGTTAATTTACATTCCATTAGATATGATCCAAAGCAGAACGCATCTCAGGAAGAATAAAAAAAAAAACCCAACCCATAACATTTTCCAAGTGTTCTCACGCACACGACCCGCCTGTACCCACCAAAGAAGAGCGAGCCCTGAGCGGGGCACGCCGGGAGCGACACCAGGAGCGATGCTGGGCAGCTCACGCAGCACCACAAATGGTTACAAATGAGAAGCCGTTCCAGAATAATTACCCTCAGATGTTTGCTGCAGACTAAGCTGCACAGACCAGCCTGAAAACAATCTGGTCTAATTTTGTACATCCACTAAGCAGATAAATCTACTTAATCTTCCCCAGGTCAATGGACAACAGACTATCTATTACACGTACTTCCCAGCAAAATCTGCTGTCAATGCGATAGGTTTTAGGGTAAAGGTTCCTTACGTACATCCATCTAGATAAGTATTGGTAGTGTGTTACAATATTCACATGACAATCGGGACAATTGATTCAAAATAAATGCTGTTAAATGTTAGGTGACTTACAGAGCATTTTAAACCAGTGATTAATATAGAATTTTAAAGATCAAGTATCAAAACGCTGCATGTGTAGAAATTGTTAGACTATGTAGCAACCTGAAGTGATAGTTTTTCTAATTTAAAAACAATTTATGAACATCCTATTTTCAAAAAAAATTTAAATCATGGACAACTAGGCTAACAAGTTGTGAAAAGACATGAGGGATAACAGTAAATGTAAACATGCATAAATTGGGAAAGAAATAGATTTGATAGATGTACGTACACACAAAAAAACCCCACAGCCACCTGAACGCAAGCAAATCATGCGATGTTTAATTCTGGACTACACTCGTCCTGCGGCAAGCATTCTACTCACACTACTGCGGGAAGGCATTAAATATTATCTTTTGAGCGTCCGGGGTGCCAGGATTTAACTGCACCCCCAGCAATACATCATCTTCAAAACATAGGTGCTTTTTTTGCCTTTTTTTTTTTAATAAACTATAGAAATAAAATAAGCAAAGTTAATTCAGGCTCTTGCTGAAGCAACTAAGTAATGTGCTATACCAAAAATATAACTCATCCTGTTTACTGTTACTACATTTGTAAAATTAAATATAAAAACTGTATTTCTTTAGTGGTGAAAGTAAGAGAAAATATTTGTAAAAGTGAAAGAAAAAAAATAAAGGGTATTTAATATAAGCTTTCAATTCCCATCTCTCTGAATACAACCTTCTCAATACATTTTCTCCTCTTTTGATACACAATGGATTGGATATGTAGATTCTGTTTTATCCAGCTTCACGGTCTTCTACCAGTTCTAATAGCTATTAATAGCTATAGGTGAAGCAATCGAAAAAATAAAATCAAACCCCAACTTTCTAACGTGAAGAGACACTCCAAAGAGACTGAGCAACATCCTCCTGCTCCCCCAACTCACGCACGGTGCCGGATAGTGTCCTGCTGCAACTCCAGCCTGAGAAACCTGAATCGATGACACAGAGCCCCTGCAAACCGGGATACGAGTAAGTGTGTCCAAGGCAAAGCAAGGGCCACAAAGAAGGGAAACTCATGCAGAAGATGATGCAGAAGCAATCTGGAGATGAGCCATCCTGCCAGAAATGGGTTTCTTTTCCCAGAGGCTCAGTTTATATGAGAAGTCTCTGCCAAAAGCAATCATCAGCGGAAGAAAGTATCAATCTGCTAAAGGTAAGTGGGGGAATAATACGGTTAACTGAAGGAAATAAAAAATGAAAATAAAAGGCAAAAATAAAAATATGACGCACGAGGATGATCAGAGAGAAGCGTTCTGTTCATTTAACCACACTGCCCATCGCCAGGAAGCAGACAAATGCCCAAGGTTCATGCTCCCGCCTGCTCCTCGTAACACAAATGAGGAAAACCGTGTCTGAACTCTGAGAAAGCACGGGACCTTCACAACTCCTACTAAAAATGGAAAAGGGTGGCCAATACTCCCTGGGTAAGGGAAGAGAGGAGACGTGTAAGGAAGTCACAGCTATTTTTAGGATTGCAGTGCTTCCAAAATTACATCTCTCTAACAAAATTTTTTCCAAAGGCGCAGGGGATTTAAAACATGCATTCAAGGTACTCTGGTATCACTAACCTTCGTTTGTGACCTTTTCTAGCCACACGCCTCAGTTTTTAATCTTAACGCAGTCTGAACGTACACTTCTAAAACACTGCTTTAAAATAAGACTTGCAATCATTTTAATAATATGGCTGTATTAGATGCAATTCTCATTAAACTAATGAAAAGTACACTTATGAAGCAAGGAATCTTTTCCTATTAACCTTCCTCTGACTTCTTCCTGACAGGCAAAACCACAAAACTTTCCTCACTTATGATTAATGATTAGAAGAAATTTGTTTGAAAAGAGGCTTGAACCTAATTAATAAAGTTTCCAGTCCCTGACTCATTCCGAAGACAGTCACGACCCTTCCATCAAGAAACCTCCCCGCAAGTAGAAGCGACTCAATCGGATCCAGGCACGTGATTAACAAACAACTGTTCTTGTGCATGGGCTGGAGGTACTTATCTCAGAACTACGAAATCACATACTTCAGCGCTAATCTGAAAGCCAGCAGCCTATACTGCATGATGTCAAAGCCTTTCATGAAGCCATTTGTAGCTTCAGACAACACAGCATCTTGCAGCAGGAAGTTTCACAATGTCGTTACAAGGTGTATGAAAAGGATGTTCCTCCTTTTCTTTTAATTTGCTTTGAAGTTACTGCCTAATTGTTTCACTGCTGCTTTTTTTTTTTTGACATGAGAAAAATAAGGAAATATTTCTGTGCAATTAATGGCTTCCCTCCTCCAGCTACTTTCTCCAAAGGAGAAGAATCCTAGCATACATTTTCATTTACTTCAAAATTACTTCAAAACAACATTTAGTTTGTGCCTTCATCGTTTCCATGTGCACCTCAAAGGTTCAAAAGCAGAAAAAAGTAACACACACCTGACTTCATCAAGAATTGACAAAGCTGAAATTCCATCAGTACCAATAATTTCAGTACAACTGAAAATGAGTGATCATAAAAAGCAAATATTTAATTATTGAAATTCTTGGGAACTGATTTTCTAATACTACAGGATGTGTCTTAGCCTTAAACACAGATGCTGCCCTGAAAAACCTCCTTGTCCTGTCTTCAAATAAAGTCAGTCTGCAACAATCTCTGAGTTTACCCACACAGAGCAAAAGGGAAATTTAGATTTCTGATATAGTATTTGGATTAAAATGCATAATTATGCGCAATAACTGTGCATGTGGATATTCACAACTAATAAAAGCACTTCAAATTGCTAAATCCTAATACACAAGGTCTCAAAAATTACAGAAAAAGACTTATTGGGTGAAATCAAACTTATATCACCATTTTATCAAACACCTTCTCTTATTTAACCTGACTCCAAGAACTGCACAAGTGAGGTTAGGGCCGTTATGGCAGGTAAGAGTCCGAAATTTCTCAGTGATATTAACTTTGTGTGCTTAAAAGCATAAAAGAACAAAGTTGTGGCAAATATAGATTGCACAATGTAAACCCTGATCTTCCAAGTAGTATTTTAGTCACAACAGAGTCTCCCTGTAGGCTGACTTCTCTTTCATGAGCACCACATTGACTGTCTGCTCCAAACCTTCTTACTTATCAAAATATTTTACGCTGCACGCATTGAGTAGATAGATATTCACATTTTAAGACCAGCCGGATTAGACTGTTAAACACACAACCTTACGTACATTGAACACGCACAGTGAGAGAAGTGGGTGTTTCAAATAGTAAAGCATTCGTTTCTGCAGTTCCTGTGTGCTGGAATTAATTTTATAATTGTAGCAAATAGTTTCTTTGTCCCTCAAACTTTACTTATTTCAGAAATACTCCAGCTGTAAGATAAGGTATTGCATAAATTCTTATTTCTCCCCCACTCCCTCCATCCTTCTCCATCTTCTTTATGCTTAATGAGTACAGAACGAGCACAATCCAACTAATTTCTAATGACATAGACAAAAGCAAGACCTATGCCTTTGATGGTAAGCTGAACTTAAACTTTGTAGACTGGGAATTCTGAAGAATGATTTTGCCTTAAACCATTATTACAAGCTCACGACAGCTTCTTTGGTATGTTACTAAAGGTAAAAAAAAAAAAATCACTTGATAAAAACTACTGCCCAACAACTCTGTCCTAACTATTGCTACACGCAACTTTTCTTGCTAGATGTAAATGGCATTTAACTTACATACTTTTAACATCATCGTATCATGCAGCGTGCTTGACCTCCACCAAGTGAGTCCACCTGCCCCCCCAGGAGTATGCATTAGGAGTATACATTAATCCTCACTTACACGTGCTTCCTGTGGAACTCCAGAATCTTTCCTTCGATTCTTTCCTGGTTTGGCAAATACCGGTTTGTTTTAAGGTGTTCTCGATCCTCTGATTCATCAAAATCCCCTATTTCAGCTAATACAGAAAATAAAACAACATTAGAATAAGAAGAAACAATGGAAAAGAAACAATGACAGAAAATACTTAGTAAGGAATTACAGAGACTCCAAGAGCCAGAACGTATTTTCCTTTAAGTGCTTCAAAATTTGTGCATTACGCTTTGTACCCAGCTTCATTTTACAAAAAACTCACATTTATCCCAAGCAGACTTCCTGGGGATTATAGCAGCATTTGAACATTGTTTAGAAAATTTAAACTTCTTTATGGTCAAAGATGTGAGACCTGTAGAAGACCCTAAAACATTGGTGGTCTAAACATTTCTTCTTTACAGATACCTCATACCAAGCCAGGATATTTCAATTTAATTTTTCTAAATATATGTAAAATGGTTCTGGACAAGCCTACTTGGGAAGAGGGCGAATTAAATTTTAGGAATTGTCCAAAAATAAACACACAGTAAAAAGAGAAATCAGTGTTATGTGACTATGAATCCCCACAGTGCCTACATTTGGAGTTTGGGTCAACCCCCTTCAGATATCCACGCCTTTCAGAAATGACATTGTGGATTTAGGAAGAGATTTAGAGAAGGAAAAAAGCATCAACCAAAATGCAGAACAGCTTCCATCTGATAAGACATGAAATGACCAGAAGTCTCTGGCTCAGAAAAGAAAAGCATGAGGCAGGCAGAACATATGGCAGACATATATAAAAATTACAAATTGAATAAATAAGGTTTTTTTTAAAAAGTTATTTACTTTTTCTGATAATAGAACATGAAGTTACAATATTAAATTAAAATGCAGAAGTTTTAAAAAGACAAAAGGACATATGTTATCCTACAAAACTCCCAAAAACTAAGCTGTGAAGCTCCTTTTCATAAAAGGATGCCAAAAATATAAGTAAATTCAAAATTCAGACAAATACATGGAAGCAAAGTTCATCAAGCACAACTACACAAAGTGTTGCAGAGTCAATCTTTGACTTAGGCCACATGCAAAGATTACTGGATGGACACAGCAAAGGAAGTATCACCACATGCTTGCTCCGTTTTTGAGGGCTTCCTCATAGCATCTGCTATCAACTACTGTCAGAGAAAGGAGAGAGAACTAAATGAACTAATAATCTCATCCAAGGCAGCTGTTCTGAAAAAGAACACGGCAATATCCTGTTTAAAATCAGGCCAGCATAGGAAACAAGAGGGGAAAAAAAAATATTGAAAGGCAATTTTAAAGAATAATTTATGTTAAAAATAATCATATTCTTTTTCACTTCTATTTTTCCAGTAGGGTAGAATCGCACTAAGCAAGGCCAGAGATCCGCTCACCGGCTCCACACCGCACTGTGGAATGCTGGAAAACCATGAGCAAACGTTAATTGTGTCACTCACTGATGGCACACACACAAGATACATTTGCTCTTCCAATAAAATCACCCTAACTAATATTATTATAATTGTATTATTGTATTACAATGCAGAATTACATAACTAATAACTCTTTAGCAATGCATGTGCGAAGAGGGTTTGTTTCACACCCAGCAAGGAGGCACAAAGTCCCAGTTCTGCAGCTGGGGTTACAGATTTGTGAACATACAACTCTGCTGCTCGAGCTGAGTTGGTGTCTGAACCCTCTGAAGGTTTTCAACCTGCTTGTCCCAAAGGCCACGTCTTTAGGTCATTAGGCACATACTGCCTGAACGAGCAGCAACACGGAGAGCTTCCAAGTCAGTTGCTTCCTGTTTCCATTTGCACTCCCAGCAAGGAGGAAAGCTGCTGACAACCCCACTGTTGAACTTGTTCTGGCACGTTTCTAGTTTTATTTCAGCTCGGTCTCTACACACTTGTCTCCTCCCAGCCGCAGGGAAATGGAGAAATGAAGCAGGGAAGCAGACGGGAGCAGCTGGCTGGAAGGTGAGGAGTGCTAGTGACGCCGTTTGCAGAGCCAGGGAAAACAGACAACATGCAAGGGCTTTGGTTTCGTACAGTCTCCACGAAGCCAAAGTTCTCTCGTATGTAAGTACCAGCTGTTCCTCACCACAGCTAGCCCTGATGATAATTCCAGTGTTCAAAATCAACAGGTTTGCTGCACGCACAGAAGAAAATACCGCGAGACAGAAAATGCCTTTAGTTACCAAAAGCTTCTGTACGCTATTTAACTCAGGTTAGCAACAGGAACATCACCCAATGTCACCACAGTCGAGGTACTCACACTGCAGAAGGTGAGAGACCAGAAGAGCAGCCGTATTGTCACTGCAGGTCAGTCGTTCCTCTGCCAAGTCTCTCTTGATTTGCAACGCAAACAGGTACCTGAGAGTTACAAGTACTGGAGTTACAAGCACCACCTTGATGCGTGAAAGAACAGTAAAACGACTGAGCAGAACTTCATAAAACCAACTTCTCCTAATTCTTCCTCTCTCCAAAAACCAGATAATAACAGAAGCCTTGCTACCAAGGACAGTCAAATCAAACCAGACAACCCGTGACTAATCCAGTGCAATTTATCAGCGTAAATGAAGATGCAGGGACAAGGAAGCAGAAGGAAATCCACACTTTTAACAGGTTTGATTTGTGAAGTAACACAGCAGCTGAAACTTTAGCTGGAAAGAAACTTAATGAACACTTCAAGTGACTTTATCTATTAGAACAAGGATAGGAGAACATCATTGATTCCAATAACTTGTTAGGAAAAATAACGAGCATTTCTGCTAGCACTCAATTAATTTACTCAGTGGTTGTATTTTCCAAGACTATAATGTTAGCAGCCAACAAAGACAGTAAGAAATTAAACTTCCTTTTCTTATACCACTATACTCATTTAACTAAAGTATTTCCAAATCAGTTGCTAAAGAGGAACAGATTTCTGTTTAACCATTTTGTATAAGCAATAAGCTGCCTGCAAAACACACAGGGATAGCAGAAAAACCTGGCAGCCTGGGAAGCATGCTGATAAAGACTGATTTAGTAACCTAGACCAATTTTAATATATTTTTATGAATGTAATGCTGGCAAATCTTTTGTGCTTTCCTTTTTACTTGAAAGAAGGTGCAATAAGGACTCCAGTAAATAGGCAACAATTCATTACTATAAACCTTTGAACTGACAAACTGATCAATATTCTTTAGCAAATTACACTCCAAAAGAGAACAATTTTTTTTTTAAAGAATTTTAAAACGTTATGTATCACATTCTTGAAGTAAAAACATAATAAAAGGTATGCATTTTGAATGTGGGAGGGTTTTTTTCCAATTTTAAAGTAGTGTAAGTATGTATTAAAGACTTCTGCTCTGTTTTCTGCATATCTGCCTGACCTATCTTGGTTTCTTCAATTCACTCACAATAAAGTGTACGTATCATTAATAGCATTATGAAATACCTACAGCTCTAAGCACAGAGCAGAATTCCACAATAAATACTCTATAAATAGACAAAAACAGTAACGTGTGTTTGCTAGTTGAAGAATAAAGCGTAGACTTTGGAAGTTTAAATGATAAATCATTTATTAAAATACGTACTGATTATTTTATACAAGTAGTGTTTGTAACTATGCGTATTTCCTCTATACGCTGTCTCTTTCGACACAGTGATGTTAGGCAAGCCTTAACCTGCACTGTTTTCTGTTTTGAAAGATATTCTTTCTGATACCATTCATCTGCTAACATATGTCTGCTAAAACTGTGGCACTAATGAGAAGCACTCTTCACTCACCTTCAATGTAAGTTTTGTTTGGAAACAGAGGGAATGTCCTCCTCCTCTTACCTTCCTTTTGTTTCAGTAGGTAATGCAAATCAAATTCTTCAAAAAAATACTTTACCTAGTATATTCCTCTTGCAACTGGCCTGGGTCTGGAGGGAAAAACTTTACGGCTAGACGAAGCACTGTAGTCTTTGGTCCTATAAGAAAAGTTAATCATGTCACAAAAAGCTCTTGTTCTTCATAAGCACATGCATATTATGTTTTCCAACATGCACAGAAATACAACACTCACTAAGCCTAGCTAGCTTTCAGCTAGCTGGCTAACTATAGCGGGTCTATGGGTATGGATTGTCCACGCCAACACAGATACAGCAGATAGTACAGACAGTTTTCAGAGGAACTATTTCCAAGGCAAGTCTGCAGTTTGAATGCTGTAAAAATAGCTTTGTGCAACCTGAAAGGTATACTATCCCAAATCAAGTACTTGACTGCGTACAAAGGCATCACGGATGACCCAGTGAGAGGTTCCCAGAAGGGGAGGAGGGTGCAGATGCGTCCCACCGGCTCTCTCAACACCAGTCACCACCAGAGTTGTCAATGAACTGAATCCACAGGTCCGGCCAGACCCAGCTGGCTCCCCGTGGATATAAAAATGCGTTTGCATGCCTGTTAACACCCATTTCCTCCCATTTTTAACACTGTTCTTGTCAATCTCGACAACAGGGAGAGAACTAATTTAACATTTAAATCTAAACAGAATCCTAAGTAACTATTTGGAATAGTCCATAATGCCCCGTGTAACATTTTACAACAAGAAAACCCAACTGCGACTGGATCACGTTAACAGTCTCAGTGTCACGACACAGACTGC